AATTCGTTGCATCTATTAGCTCAGGATTGTACCCAAAATGTCACTCAGGGGCTGAATATTAGATAAAACATGGAAGCACTTATCTATGAAGTAGCGCACTAATCTGAATGAAAATAAATTAGATCACAATCCCTTTATAGCTTCGAACGTTGGGCAGAGGATCCGGGACAACTTCAGGGCCTCGACCAACCATGTCCTGGGACTACAGCCCGAATCGGCTGGAACTGACGAATTCAGAATGGAGTGGCCGGGAAATTGGCCTTTGTTGAAGCAGACACTATTTTACTCGACGAATGTATCCAGCACTACAACCTAAGGTGGCTGGGCCTTATGGTACGAATGACGAGAACAGCGTTATTTTCTCGTGCCTAATTCTGGAAGGCACAAACCGAATGGGAGACGAATGGTGACGTGAAAGACTGGAAGGCGGGATGCTACAAAATGTTTCGGTACCGTCGGGGCTGTTTACATTCCAGGATAATGGGGTTCACTCGATCTCTGTGTTTGGTTGAAGACATTGAAGTATATAGTGACTAACAGATTCCCGTGGTGTTCATGCTGTCAGTTTCTATACGGATTGTCCGACTGGGTTTCTGACATGCAGGCTCCTCAGATATTTGTTATGGAGTTGCTCTAGGCCATCCTCCCTTCTCCATTCTCTCATTTCCGTTATAAAGCGTTCCTCAAATAAGTTAACGTGGTCGTAAGGCAATGAAGAAACCGTGTTCCCCTATGGTATCACTGTCAATGATGCTGATGCACGAGAGCATCGTTGCACGGCTTCAACCAAAAATAGGTATACTTAAGGAAAGACCGATACCAAAAACATTTCAGGGAATATGCACTGAAAACGTATGGGTTCTGACAGTGACATACCAATCAATATCACGCGCCACAAACCGGAGTTTCCATTAAAGTGGCACGTGGAGGGTAAGGGGCGTGAATGAGTAGAAAGGTTAACGAATTTTATGGCACCGAATACCTTTGTGACTTCAGTGTATTGGTGTTTTGTCATCGCTGTGGCCTAGGCTATCATTCTCAGTAACTTAAGGCGGGGCGTATCACTCGGATCTATTTGGTACGAAGTGTGCAACCAATGTATGGCCTCTGAATACATGGGGTCAAGATTTGACTTCTGACCTTTTGACATCAGTCATAATACCGCTATACTCTAATGCGCATTCTGCCACGCGATCTGAGACACCGGTCTATCAGAGCAAATTCAAGTGTTACACCCCATGCGCGGTTGATATGCATAACGAACTGTGTTCGTGTTCTTAGAGCACCTCTCCTAGTAGTCTGAACCGGGCACCACTAAGCAGCTTTATAAACTTCTATTACGACATAATTTAGTTTCTAATCGGGATCATCACTCAGAGGATAGGAATTGAAAAACCGACCCTTTTCAGCCTCAAGAACGTTCAGGAGAGCCACTAGTTCATATAGTCTCCAAGAGCTCTTGCGCTAAACTCATCTGGGCTGCAGATCTAGACTGAAAGTCTCCGGGGCAATGTGAACATTCAGCATTCCACATTGACATACAAAACCAAACATCAGGGTGCCTGGTTAGAAGGAGATCCAGAGATTAACGGAATTCCGCCTGACATTCAGATGACACACGTAGGCTAAACGGAAACGGAGCTGAGAATATCACAAAAATCGATAAAATATTTGTTAGCGGTGACATCCGAAACATAAGCCACGCAATGGATGTGCAGCAAAGCATTTGATATATAGTTTTAAGCCTGTATTTCAATCATTCTGCAACAATATGGATATTATTTAAGTGAATTTCGAAAATCCGTTTCCACTATGTTGATTTTGCTTTTTACAAATGCATATATTTGCCGAAGACCATAGACTATTTAGACCGTTAGCATCTGCCTGAAAGTAACTGAAGCATCAGGTCCCCAGAAACGAACAAAAGCCCGTTAGACCAGAGACTAAAGATATGAATGTTTAATTTATTGAACCTCGTTTGCTTCTATAACGGTCTAAAGCATAGTTAAGTGGAAGGAAGCGTGCCCGAAATGCACTAGCGACACGTGAACAGAAAAACTCAGTTCACCTTAGAACAAGCTGCTTAGTCAACTGCGGTGCTGCCATATTTGACCTGATTTGCACACCTTAAACAAAAGTGGGTTTGGTTGAATAGAATAAAACGAATCGGAATGAGAGATTTTCTGAGCGGTCATCGTCAGGCAATAATGATGAACATAGGTGTAGTGATGGAAGGGGATGGCAAGAAAAGTCGGAACTACTGAATAACAATGAAGATCTCCTCCTATTCTGTGTAATCCAGGAAGACATCACCTAGGTTTTCCAAGTCGTCTTCTTATTCTGGAGCCAATGTCGTAATCCAATAAACGGACCATTTGTAATGCCCGTCGTATATTTGTCGGTTGCGAGCTGTTCGTAAGGTATTTGGACGATACCCCTACTATACGCTGAACTTAGCAAAATTAACTGAGGAAGTATAAACGCAACGTCACATCCCATGTTCTCATCACGCGGAGTTTAGTGAGCATTTTTACGCTGCACGGAATTTCAGAATAAAAATGACAGGGTAAAAAACGAACGTTCACGGAAGATACGGATTGATCAACATTTCTAAAAAAGTTGCATTACAACCAATGACTGTGATTTTGATTTGTAGTTGTGCACGTCTTACTTCCCATCAACCAAATAAGAAAAGAGTGTAGTTCGACTGGGTGTAACTTAATCAAAGGGTCACGTGACCATTCACACGACGTGTGACTGAGAATAAACACCCAGCTGGATTTACCTCATCGTCTTAGTGATCACGAAGTGGCGGACTACGTATACCAATTTCTCAGGAATTTATTGGTATACGCTTTCCAAATGGCTCAATCAACTGTGTTCACTTTTGGATAACTTGACACCTTAAAGGGCTGACCAAAATACCGATTTGACGGAATGCCAGGTAAAACAAGTACTTAAAATGTTACACATGTACACCCCACCAGAATAAGTGGTAGCACTACGATGGAGGATGAACGGTTGGAAATGTGATAAGCAACGTCCAGTTTACTTATGAAGAGGAAATCTTCGTCGAGCAGTTTGCAGTAAGAAACTATGAAGTGTTCTAACGGCAATATTTTGTGTATCATCACTACCGGTAGTCTGAAGTCCTCCTTGCCCCACGTCAGTAAGCAGTCCCTCCGGCGCTGTGAAATACTATCAGATGGTAAAAAACGACAGGATGTCTAACTCCAAACAAGTGTCAACTAGATTAAATTAATTTTTGGCTTCCGCGGTATCAACGACGTCTTTCCCATCTGTGTCGGGATCCAGCAATATGAAAATCGTTGGCTGTGTCCAAGAATAAAAGTGACAAGGTAAAGATTCCGCATTTTCACTTTAGATCTTATCCAACTTGTCGCCAAGGTTTGATAGCGAGTCCGACCTGGAAAATACATGTTTCAGTGCATATACTTATCCTGCCAGTCAAATGCGTTATGCACCCCTACATTGATGAGAATTTTGACGGCACGGAATTATTTTCCAGTACAACCCCTTGCAAAAACCCACCTTCACAACAAAAGAAGAGGTACCCTGATTTCAAAAATGCTGATTTAGCCTCTGATAGGATACTATGGAAACGCCCTATGCCACTGGCCTGTGTTTACTGATCGACTGCCGCTTTGTTCAGTATTGTGACGGAAGTAACTGAACAGGTGGACAAGCAGCTTTTGATCAAAATAGGTCAAGAGTTTAATGTAAGATACGTGTACCGCAACAATTCACTCCAATTTATCAGCTGCAAACCGTGTGCCATAGGCACATTGGTTCCAACTGCTACGACTTCGATCACCGGAAAACGGGACAGTGGAACATATAACCAAGCCATGGAGGTAAAGGCATGTTCAGTGTGTTCACAAATTGCGTAGCTACGCATTGAAGGCAATAACTCCGATGCATGAGCGCCACTGACTGCGCGATTGGGCCATTTCCACCAATGTCACTAACCACTGGTGATTCGAGTCCTGGGGTCCCCATCCGGGGAGGCGGCAGCTACCCACCCGACTTAGTTTATTGGTTAGTGTTTTCGTACTTCGTTGCCAAATCATACACTGTCCACCTCTCGGTCGCTTCCACTCAGCACAGGGTTGGGCGAAAGCGGCTCTGTGAGGCAGATGGTCTTTCGGCATGCGGAGTACATGTCGTAACCAGCGCAACCTATGAAGCACCGCAACAGCTGAGACACATCACGGATGAAAGATATCAAGCGGGAAACTGAGGTTAGGCAACACAGGATAACTTGATATCCACTGAGTTCCAAGAAATCGTTATCGCTTTTGTGCTAATAGCAGAATACAGCCTCGGTGATGAATCGTCTTGTTTCCTGGTACTTATCCAACTTTAGCTGGACGGCGCAAACACGAATCATACCTAATGACTATCGTATAAATTCACCGAGATGTGTTATTGCCTCAGTTGAGGTTTTGTAAAGGTGTCGTAAGAAGCCTAGATTACTCCTTCCAGAAGAAGCACACCGGTTTATTGTAGAACAACCGCGTAGAACGGGGATTCCACGACATGGAGCAAGAAGTATGCAATACGAACCCAGATGGCGAGAAAACAGCCCTTCAGAAGATGCGTTGATGTATACCGAAGGCACTCCTTAACATCCGAGCAATATGAGATAAAGACGGACGAAGAAACGCGATCAGGCACACGTGATCACCAAGAGATCCGACTGTGGCATAACGGTTGGCTGTTCTGTAACAATTTTCAGGCTGAAGTGAGGACCTCTTCCATCGACAGAGAGGGCAACGAGCTATGGTCGGAGTTCAATATCACATGGTCCGTGGCTCTTCAATCCAATAGATAACAGGCAATAAAAACCTGAGATGTGGCCTGAAAAGGGAGGAGCCATGGCTAAGGCTCAGTATAGTCAAAATGCTAAACCACATGAGACCTGACGCACTATGCCATATTTTACACAAATACCTACGGTAGGACACAATTCAGACTGGGAAATCCCATAAATAACCGGGTTAGTGGGAAAGTTTCTACTTATTTCTACGGAAGAAAACAAGCGAAACAAATCGTCGTTTCCCTTATCAACCACGACGTTCAACACTGGAGGATAAGTAAGCTGGCCAAAACCACGAGTTCAAATCCCGGTGCTAGAACAAAAGCAAATATCCTAGCACAACATAAGCTAAGGTGCAGAGTTGCAAAAATGTGTGCAGGGGAGAAAAACCGGAGTCGTATTTCTTGAGCCCGAATGGATTTCAACGAGCAGGGTCCTGTCAAGAAGCCACTGAACTTTGTATGAAGGTGGATTTACCCATTCTGAGAATAAAATCGCTCTCCAGTCCTACAGCATGCGTAAGAAGACGTAAAACCTCCGGAAGTGAGTGGGAAAGTTCTTGCAGATAATCCATTACCGAAGTGGAAAAGACGAGAGGGGACGCCAACCAAAGAACATCTGATGGTTTATGACGGTATGGAGAAAGAAAAGTCCAAAAGACCCACAGCAGCGACAACAAGTACATCAAGTTCACATGCCAAATAGGTCTTAACTGGCGTGACAAGCGGTAGAAGGTTGCACACGTTGTGTTCACATTCGGCCGGTAACTAGGAGTAGACAGAGATGAAGAGTTACACGATAAAAAGTATAAAATGAACTGCTCTATGCACAAGGCGGTACCACGTACACCGAAGCTCACAAATTCACTGGCAAGAGTTGCTGTGGGGATATACAAAAAACTGTACTCAGAGTTTGTTCGTAGAGGGGATGGTTCAGGTTTATCTGTGGTAGAACTGACCACCCGTAAAGATAGGAATACTTCACAAATGGGAAGCGTTTCATGTTAGTCAGCTTGTGAGTTCACGTTTCGCTCAGCCCAGCGAAACGATTCGATTGTACCAACTCGAACTGGGCTTTCTCACGGTCACTGTCTCTGTATTGAGAAAAAGAACAAAATCGTCGAAACGGAATTCGGTGGGTGGAAATGTTAGCTGGTTCATATAACATACCGAACATTAAAAACAGTGTTTCAGATTTAAAGGGAATCCGTGTACCTTATGAGTGCATTCTGAGATGAAATAGACACCACGATTCTGTGAAACCCTCCATTTAAATATGTTCAGGCCGTCTACAGCCACTCTGATGTGATTCGAGCGTTGCTTGCACCCATCCACCATTCGAGTGCATGGCGGAGGTTCAATAACCCATCGAAAATGGATAATTCGGATATGATACAGAATAAATGACACCTATAAGGGCATACCAACTCCGCCACTGACAAGCATGGGTATCGATTTCAACATCACATCTATCTGAAAGAGAACAAGTTCGTAAAACATGAGGACTCAAAAGGTGAACACTATGCTCCATGACCAGGCTCTGCCTGACACCCATCAGAAGGATAATCTTCAAATGGACAACAAAGTTAGTCACTCTCAAGAGAGTGGCCTTCATGATTGAGAACAATAAGACCCGATCAAGTAAGTGAGTGTGGAACAGCACACTAACAGAAACACCCTGTTATCCTTCTGACTACATAGGAGAAAACAAAATGAAAATGAATATTTCAGCTCAACGGAAGGCTGTACCAACAAGCTGATGGTGTCGCAATGGGTTTCCTACTAAGTCTACTCCTCAGCGATGGCTTTATGGAACGTCTTAAGAACCACCAACTCCGCTCAAGCACAGGGAAGATGCACTTTTACTGGCAACATGGAGATGATATTTCCAACATCTGAAGATTTTAACGGATTTCAGTCGTGCCCATCAGGCCATCCGGTTTACATTCTGGAAGTTCAGCTGTCGGGAGCAACAGGCGGCTCATTTGAACGTTCGGTTTGTCGGAGACCGACTTGGTCAGGACAATGCACTAACTTCATCAGCTTTGTCCCACCAAAACACAAACGAAATTTAGTTCGGTGTCTTGCTACAGGGCAAGAAAAATCTCCTCTGAAAGCGAAGTCAAGGCAAGACTTCACTCGCCAGCTAGCATACTTCATGAAAATGACTACCCGGATAGGTTCATCGCGAAGCACACGGCTTTTACAATTGTGAAAAGCAAACCAGTCATCATCAGACTTACTTCCAAAAGGGATCTGGCTACAGACTGGCTCTGTGTCAACAGTACACAATTCCGAAAAGCTTTCCGGCTGTTTCACATAAAGTGTGGTTGACAACTACTAAGCTGATGCCCTACAGTTTGGAGATATGCTGTAGATCCAAACTCAAAGCACGGTACTTTACTCCTCTGCACTCTGCTGTACAACAAAAGACAGGGCGGTCATGCAAGAGAATTAAAGAGCATAAACAATTTTCACCGACAACCGGATAAAGGAGGTCCATTACTAGTGCAATGGTCGCTTGCTTGGCTGATATGAATCACGTGATTACTTCTAACAACGCTTTCCGTATACTGTACTAGGTGCTTGCCTGTCCTAGAAAGATGCATTGAATATTAAAGTCTGGTCACAGCTGAGGTGACCAAAATTCGTCCACGCAACCCGAAAGCGTTTGTACGCACAGAGTCTTCAGTGGTCTGCTCATGTGATCCCTAACCACTCAGACCAATCGGTCGTGAGGCAAACAGTGTTCACACCTTTACCCGCATACTCCATTTCGTCTTTGTTTTACCTGTAAGCATCATTCGCTATTGATCCATGCTGATCGGAGGAAGAGATCGCGAAAACACCACTGACGTCTATCCGCATTTCAAGTGTTTGCAAATGAAGGGTCAAATGTCCAGAGAAATGCCCAGAACTATAGGAGAAACATCTACCAGGTGTTGCCGAATAGGAGGTAAAACGAGCGTCTGATATGACACTATTTTCTTCATGGAATATTGATAATCATTTCATTGGTCGCTCCTGTTGCATAACCTTACAGCCGTTTTCATTCGCACTTCATTCTGGACCGACTCTCAATAAGCGATACCGCGAAATAATAAACGATTCGAGTACGCCCCAACAGTATCTTATGAATAAGTTTGACTCGCATGGTGGATTCGCTCTTGCGGCCGGCCAAGGACAAACGTTGAAGGCCGAAGTGAAACCAATATCGATTCAGCCGCTGCAAGAAACACTTTTTCTCATGGAATACGGAAAAACGGTGGTAAATTAGAATCGTTCGACGTATAGCTGACATGCCATCCCAAGATAACCTGAAGATTGAGATACCGCCAGGCAGCCCAAGCCTAGCAGGGAGTAGTGGAGCCTGATGAAGAGGCCGGATGTACGATACTAGCCAAACGAGTACGGAAGCAATCATGTGGAAGATTCTTAAGTCAAAACGCAACACACTGCTCGTAAGGTTGCTGAAAAATTTTTCTACAGTCCACGACCGGTTTCGCCCTTCTAGGGACCTAAAGTAGCCCAGTATTTGTTCAATCGCAAATTGAATAGACGGAACATACTACTCATAAGGCTACTGAACATGATGAACGAGAGAACCAGCTGGGTTCCAGGAGGGTCTCTCGACAAAACCATATAAATATGCAAATGAGTGCACTTGACAAATTGACCACTTTTGCAAACGAATTTGGTCCGCAGCTCCGAGAATATGTCAAGAAATGGAAAAGATGCCCGCGACATATTTTCGACCATATGACGCGAACTTTCTGCTTGTTTCTTCTCACACGGAATCAGACGTTGGGACCCGCCCTTCACGGTTGTGACGAGGAAAAATATGCAAAAACCAAAGCAAGTCGAAGACACAAGTGACCGATCAAACTGCGTAATACGCGACCAGTAGCCCAGAGATACGGAATTGCGGATCGCATCGCAATAGTCGCTGGAACACTAGCTGAAGGATAATATCGAGCAACTCCAGCCACACAACCCTATACCATCCGCAGTTCACAAACATATTACACGGTTAGTGTGTTCCTGACTCCGCGCCACCATTTGGAGTAAAATACAAGCAAGCACTCACCGGAAAGTCTTCATAGCTGCGCCTCGTTCCCAGCCTCCACCTCCTTCGCCGCCAGTGGAACCTGAACTAATGGCAGTCGTTCGGGAAGGCAGCGAAATTGGGGTGGTAATCGATGATCTGTTGGGGGTGGTCGAGTCGCGTACGATCGTTTGGCCACGGGACCATCCATCAACAGCTGAGAAATTGGATGGAGCATCTCGTGATGTGAAAGCTTCCGACCTTCGAGACCCAAAAGTGGACTCGTTGCGGTGCGAGAACTCATCTCGAGAGGGTCGGTTGTCAAAAGTACTTTCTGTACGAGGGGTAACCAAACTGGAGGAACCACCTTTTCTGAGCCCAGGAGAAACGTAGGAGGAGGGTGCTGGATTGACGGCGATTGGTAGCATCTCGGAGGTTCGAGTGGGTTTCCGCGGGACTCCGGCTTGTGACCATGAAGCTTCTTCTTCCCGCTCTGCCTTAGATTGAACTTTGCTAGGTGCAGGTTCTGTCCGTATTGCAGCGTCTAACGTAGGAAAATCTGCTGTGCTTTCGACGTCCGGTTTAGGTTCTTTCGGAACTCTGCTGCCACCTTGCCTGAGATGTACGGGAATATATACGTCAGGCTTTTTTGCTGGTCTTTCTTCAACCACAGGCTCTTCTACAACTAAATTTAAATATTAAATCGTTTAGTGATTATCATCAAGTGACACAAACGAGGAACATGAAAAACAAGCCATAGAATAACCTACAAATTGAACGGCTAGAGGTAAACATTAGTTTCATACACAGTCAAACAGAACGACTGGGAGTAAAATAGAGCACTCGTAAAAAATAATGCTTTAGTAGTGCTTGATGGTGAGCACGAAGTTGTTGTGACGAAAACTGAACAGAGTTAGAAAACAACGGTTGATAAAACATCAATTTGGTGTCGAAAACCTTCCAAACCCAAACAAGATTGTCCAGAAACCCTGAATTCCAAATGATTTTTTAAAAATTGCATCGGCTGAAAATCACTACCATAGGAAACATGCACATTTAAGCACAAAGTCACCTTTGCAACTTTCCGGGGTTTTGTAACTCATTTTAGATGAATCAATTCAACTGTGCTTTGGATGTTCATCAGCTCACTACAAATACGAAACAATGAGGTTTATCAAGGCTAGAGGTGCGTATATCACTCGACAAACTTAGTGCCAAAAATAAATTAACATTCGTTCCCCAAAAAGTGCGCAAGAGCTTTAAATGCATCGGCTAAAATCACTACCATAGGAAACATGCACATTTAAGCACAAAGTCACCTTTGCAACTTTCCGGGGTTTTGTAACTCATTTTAGATGAATCAATTCAACTGTGCTTTGGATGTTCATCAGCTCACTACAAATACGAAACAATGAGGTTTATCAAGGCTAGAGGTGCGTATATCACTCGACAAACTTAGTGCCAAAAATAAATTAACATTCGTTCCCCAAAAAGTGCGCAAGAGCTTTAAAAGTGCCTGTACTAGCTCTCTAGGCTGGATCCACTTCTTTCAATTCAACTAAGTTTATTAGCTATAAGTCATGCACCATGGGCACTTTAGTTCCAAGGGGCCAAGATAACGCCAGTTTGCTGACCGGAAGGTTCGTGTTCCGAACCCGACCACCGCATCTCGACTTCTCCAGTCTAGATTTGGGAAACCTGGCAGTATCCCAGCCCCCATGCTTCCTTCGGGCATGACACTTGGGCACTGAAAGGGTGTTACAGATGAACGACATTAGTTCCAACTCCTATACTTTCGACCGCCGAAAAGTATGACAGCATGGGACATACAGCCAAGCCTTGGAGGCGATGGCATGTTCAGTAGGTGTCCAGCATGGTGGCCATGGCATCCAAAGTGCTCTCTGATATTATTTCGCGGTCGTGGATCAATTGGAGGGAGATACGAAGTCGTGAGAGCCAAACTGGTTTTCACCCCGGTCAAGGATTCATTGATCATATCTTTACCTTAAGACAAGTTCTTGAACAGCGCCAATTCTTCAAACGCCCCATGTTGGTCATTTTTCTCACCCAAAGCTATTTTTGACTTTTTCGGTCGTCAGAAACTTTAGCGATGTCTGATGACCTATGGTATCACTTCCAAGTTTGTATCCCTTGCGTATGCGAACTCTTCTGGACAGAAAGAGTATACATCACTCTTTCACCCGAGCTCGCCACGTCCACCACGCCTTTCTCCTTCAGTTTCGTCATTGACGTGCCGCTTGAAATTCCTCTAAAACCTTGTGGGCCAAAATACTCACAGAAACAGAGAATGTGGACGGTGTTGCTTTCCTTCGTTCACATACTTCAAAAAATTCAACCATTTTAAACAACCTGAATAATTCTGCCGCGCGGTCTGGCATGCAAGTTCAAAGTGCCTGTACAATACTTGGGGATCAAACAAATATCTCATCCTTGCAGACCAGCCAATCGACGTGGTAGATGAATTTGGTTACTTGGGCATTTGTATAAGTTCCAGTGCAGTGAACGGAGACGGCATTGCTTCCTAAATCAGGAAGTCCAGGGGAACTTTTGTCAACCTCCGACACCTGTGGCGTCGGTGTACCGTCAGTTCTTCTGTCAAATTCAGGGTATATACTGTGGTGGTTCGGTCCATTCTCCAGTCCTCCTCTAAGTATGAAGGACCTAGGAAAGTACATAAGTGTTTGACTATCGGTGTCTTCGAAGTATTGATCCAGTCGTTGGGAGCATCCGGTGAGCAATGGAGTTATACCAGACGGTTTTAGGAAAAGGAACCATCCAACAACGGATGAGGTATTCACGTCCGATCCGTTACGCTGGCTAAAACATGCATGCCAGAGGACCGTCTGCATTGAAGAGGATTTCCCCCCAGCTATGTGCTGAGTGGAAGCCACCGAGGGGTGGTCATTCTATGACCTGACAACAAAGTATGAAAAGAATAACCGGTAAACTCAATCGGGTTGACAACTGCGGTCTCCATGGATGGGGACCCGGGGACCAATGGTTTACGGTGCTAGTAGATATGGCCCAACCAACTAATTTACCGCTCTCGTGGTACTTTGTGTGGGCCACTGACGTCAAACGAAACAATATTACCCGCATCAACCAAGACCGCAAACCTCTCTCAGGACCTGACACTATCATTTCGAACGCCTTATTAATCGACCATTAGACCGAATCCTCTAGGACAGGGTTTCGTTCCCAAATACGTACGAACAGCCTAGCTACAATGTAGCAGAATGACCCCTTCAATCTTTAAATAATGCAAATAAAACAAAGACAGTAACATCAGGATTGACACTGATGCTGCATTGCCATACAACCATAGGGTTCGTCTGGTTATATATATATAATATATATATATATGTATATATAATAAAAGCCCTAGAGTGAAAAGAGTGGGTGAGGGAGGGGGACTGGTGCTGGCCTATGT